CTATCTCCACTGTGTGCTCCACCGCAAGGTGGGCGCAGGGACGGTGACTTGCGAGTGAGTTAGTTCAGTTCAGTTCAATTTTATTAAGGGAAAGGTAGGCGAACGCCTTTGAAATCCCAATTGGTTACAAGAAAGTCACAAAAAGCCAATACGAAAGACAAGTGTGAAAGAAGAGTGGGTAAGTAATAACATATAACAAGTATGTAGTATTTGTATTAATGTGTCAGTGTATGCATGTTGTGCCAAAATTGTGAAATAATCAGAGCGCGTTACTGAAGTGGTCCAAGTAATATGGGAACGAACGCTTATGCTTGAGCCAAGATCCGTTGGTTCGCATTTATACGGCCGATTGAGGCATTTGACGTAGAAGTTATGAAATATAGACAGTAACATACTTTGTAAAGTATAACTTTCGGGTGATGCAAGGAAGAAAATTTGTTAGCTGCCAATGACACAGTGGTAAATATGCCAGTACTGGTCAAGCTTCCTCTTAAATATGTCCACGGAAGAGGACTTGACGACATCCACAGACAGAGCATCCCATGCCTTAATCACCCTTTGGCTGAAGAATGACTTTCTTGCGTCCACTCTTTCCAAAGTCACTCGTAGTTTGAGAGGATGTCCTCTCAAGCTAGTAGTGGTGGCCGGCTCAAAGAAGTCGCCGGATGCAAGGCAACAATCCTGACCCCGCAGCATACAGAACATTTGAACGAAGTCGCCACGTAATTGTATGCAGTCCAGGGGAAAGAGGTCAATATTGGACAGTCGACTTTCGTAAGGTGGGCTGTTTTGGCCTCCGCCAAGCTTGGTTGCCCGTCGTTGGACTTTTTCGAGGGTAGTACGGTCTTTAACAGGCCAGGGTCTCCAGGCATGAATGCAGAATTCCAACTGTGGTCACACGAACATCCCAAAGACCTTGCTAAAGCACTCTTCGTCAGACTTCGCAAATGCCCGCTTAGTGAGATATAAGCTGAACAGTGCGGAATGATGACTTTGTTGAGGATGTCATTCACACCTAGATCCTTCTGAACCTCTACCTCTGGCAACGGTGTGTGATTTAGATAGTCGTCAGCAACCACGGCAGAGTCGCAGTTCAAGCCACGGATACAGTCATCAGTATACATGAGGAAGAGGATAGAACCAAGAACGGAGCCCTGAAACACTTCGCTCGCAACCGTCACCTCTACCGGTTGCTAGTCACCAAGACGAACAATCTGCGATCGACAGATCAAGGAGTTTCCTATCCACTTCAAAAGCTTGCCTCTTGCCCCTATTCGGCTGAGCTTGTATAGGACACGTTGGAGCGGTACACTGCCTAAGGTCTTCTTAAAGTCTATAGACGCTACATACACCACGTTTCCCTCATCAATCGCTCGGGTCCATCGTTCTAGACAGTGGAGTTAATTTGTCAAGCAGCACCTTCCTATGCGGAATCCATGTTGCACATCAGAGAGAAGAGGATGCTGCTCTAAAAACCGCATCAGTTTGCGTTTGATAATTCGTCCCATACCTTTGCAGCATATGGACGTGAGGCTTACCGGTCACTAGTTGTTTGCTGAAACGCGACTGTCACTTTTATATACCGATGAAATCCACGCAGTCTTCCACTCAGGGGCAGTCTACCTGCATCGAGGGAGGATTGGAAGAGAATACATAGTGGTTCTGCCAGTTTTGTGGTTAGTTCCTTTAACAACTTTGCAGGTATTTCAGCAGGACCTGGCGATGTCGCTTCTTCCAGCTTCAGTAGTTCTTGTGGAACAATAGCTTTTGTGAGAACCGCTGTTTCAATTTTTGGGACATCGTCCACATTATAATGATCAGCGGGTAAATCGACCTCTTTCGTAAAAACAGACTTAAAGATCCGAAATGGATGCTCAGCCTTTTCGTCGTCCTTGCAAAGTTCGACGCCATCATTCGTTTTTAGCAGCGGGATGCGATCCTTGTTGCGAGAGCTTTGTCTTATGTAGTTGAAGAAAAGCTTTGGGTTTTCTCGGGCACAGTTTAAAAGGTTACCGTCAAAGTCTTTGGGGACTCGGTAAACACAGCACCTTACCCTATTCCGCTGAGCCTTGTACCTATTCCTTGATTCGATTGTCTTCTCCCTGCTAAAAACTTTCCACAGCTTTTGATTACGGTTTACTTGTCTCTTTAGTGTGCCCTCTAGCCATCTGGGCCTGCTGATGACTTTCTTTTTCGATATAGGGCAGTATTCAATGCTAAGTTCATGTAATAAGGCCTTCAGTTCTAACAAGTCCTTGAGGACACATCCCTGAATGTTGCTTTCCAGTCTACACGATGCATGTCGAGTTGTATTTGGTTGAAATCTCCGCGCCATATGTTGCGTCTAACCGTGATGCTATGATCATGTATAGATAAGAGAGAATACTCCCACTGTAGTCACATTTTCCGAGAGGGGGTAGACAGTTTACGACGTTAACGCTCTCAGGCGCTTTTGTAAACATAAGGTCTAAGCAGTTGGCTAGTTGCCCTTCACGTAGTCTGATTGGAGATGAGACGAGTTGGGTGAGATGAGATCTTTGCACTGCTTGTAGGAGGCGGCCATCGAAGATGGATTCCGAATTTGGGGCAGAAGTCAGATTTCAGTCGATATTCGGAGCGTTAAAGTCGCCCTTAATAATGACAGCGGGTCGGATCGAAATAGCTTCTAATTCCTCTATCAGACTAATGTCTGATTGCGGGTCGTTCCTCCGTGGACGGTAGACCATGAGGATCTCGAGAGCTTGTGACCCCGGCGTTTGATGGTGAGCCAAATTGTCTCAGTTGTGCGTGCGAGATGTTTCCTTATTTCTGACATAAACAGGCCACATTTGACATATGTGAGCAGACCCCCACCTTGACGTCCCACCCTTTCCTTTCTGCGCAAGTGGTAACCGGAGATAGAGACTTTAAGGTTGCCTCCGTTTGCGGCCAGCCACGTTTAAGTTATGAATATTACATCTGGTAAGGTTTGGCTTGCGTGAATTTTAGGCTCGTCTAATTTAGATAGCAGACTTTGCACACTGGCATACAAACATTTTAGTTTTTTGCCTTTGGTAAGCCGGCTATGCTGCCGCCGTCGTCATTTGCATCAGCTGTAGCGAAATACGTACAGGATGTGTTCGTGGCAATACTGTCTCTATCTTTTATGCTAATAGAGATTATATTCGCATCCGCCGCGACTGTGTCCACTCGGTCGCTGGTGGTTTCTGACGATTGCTCAGAAAACGTCTGCTTTTCCACCTTAAAAAGTTCTTTTCCTCGAGTACGACGAAGCTCTCCGATTTCTGTCGTTCACTCTTCGATCGTCAGTCCATTTTGACTTAATTTATTTTTTGTGATGTGATCTAAGTTGCCTGTGTATAATCTGAGTCCTATCATCAATCGTCTGCTTCTCCCTAGTCTCGTGGCGGGATGCAGTGATCGTCTGCACTTCTGCGGGCGGTTAGTGTTAGTGGGTTTGCGCGGCATCCACCGCACTCACTTCTCCATGACCCACCTGAACCTGGTATTAAGAAAGGGCCAAAAATACCATTGGTGGATTCGGGCGCAGTGACTGACAAGTCTAGACAGCCCGTCTGCACGTGTCACGCACGCCTGGTCCACGCATAATGGACCAGCTCTTCGCTCTAGCAGGTAAGTGGTGGCTCGGATCCCATCTGATTGGGAGTATATAAAGGCCACATTCGGAAGGAGGCTTTGCAGTCTGACCCTCCGTCCTGAAGGGGCCGATCTACCCCGTCAGTTGTCAGCCTACCAAGCCACGGCTTTTAACGAGCCATGGTAATTTAAAGCGCGTCTGAGTGTTTATAAGAACTAGTAGGCGCTGAGTGCCATAGGAGCGCAGTCCCCAGAGTTCACCTCTCTCTCCCTCTTCTAACTCCTGGGCACGAGTGCACTGAGTCAGTCGTTCATCTGATGCGGGATCGGTGGGCGCAAGTGACTGGCAGGACTAAACAGTCCCTCCGCCACCTCCACAATACGCAAAGAGGATGGGCAGCTCGGATCTCGCAACCAGTTTTTTCATACAGTAGATGACGCTGCTAGTATATCTTTTATTTTTACACGTTGACTGTTGGACAGTGTCAAAGAGAAGTTGAAGAGAAGAAGGGCTCGTACACGTACTCTCTGGTGAACAAGATAATGCTACATAAAGCAAACTCCCAACTCACGCTCTATTGACTAAGCAGACAGTCAAAATACATTCCAAATGGATGAGTCTGTTTCAGGTTTTTTCCTATGTTCTAAGGATACTGAGAGAGCCCAAGAGATGTTATAATCAACCTATCTATTATGGGGTTTACAATGGAGCCCTGTCAGACAGACGCGAAACTGAGTTTTGCGGCCGATAGAAGTGCTTAAGTCTGTGCAAGCGACCCTTGGCCAGCGGGCTGATCCGTGTGCGTCCGGGCTCCAACCGCCTGTGACAGACATGTTTTCCTTAGATCTACTGCGAACACCCCGCTGTTAACCGTCGCTTAGAGGGGACGCCAGCTGACCTTCGCGTCGCAGTTCGCCGGTAATCAAATCGGTGTTGGAGCTAGGCTGTGTGTGGGGGGGAGGCGGATTGATTAACCGGATGACCTACCCACCAAGACGTTCGGCCCTGTCCCCCGTGTGTATGCGGCCGCAGGCTGTGAAGATCTCTGTGGCCTGTCATCATTTGGCGACGTGGCTTGACCAGGTGCATTGGAGTCATCTGCACTAGCGTTCCAATCCTTATAATTCTAAGTTGGTATTCACACCCTTTCAGGCATCGGGAGAGAGAGATTGGGCGGAGAATCAGCCTCCCCTACCACACTGCAGCGGGTGTCGCATAGGCGCGCTTGTGAATGTCAGCCACAGTGGGACGCTGGGACGTATAGCCCCCCAGAGAAGGGGCGGACACAAATAATTTTAGGCAAAGAGGAGGATCGCAGAGGAGGCACCACACTCACCCAGTTACATTGTCTCGTAGTTACGGCAGGCATCACTTCTCTTAGCAACGCGTGCTAGAATCACCGATGTCCCAGCTGTTTGTGCAAGACATCCACCGCGAACAGTCTTGGATCAGCAGAAACTTTTCGGCCGATGCAAATTTACCGATGCCGCAATGCGACTTTTCGTATTTTCCGAGCACCTGGAGCCCTGTTTTCCAGGACAACCTTCCGACCGATATTAACGACCATTACAGAAGATATTGTAGCTTCGAGGCGGTTAAAAGACAGCAAGAAACCTCTTCCTTACTGAAGGAATTTCCTCGAACCATCCCTTTTGGTGCACAAAGTGGACAATCGCCTGAAGTAAGTCCCAACTTGTTGTTCGTTAAAAACTTCACTTAACCGTGGCCTATCTACAAATGGCGGTTGTTTTAGCCAAACACAACATCTACAAAGTGGTATTTAATGAAAGTAACATGCGGTTAAGTCGTTTATTCTGGACGCCGGTAGATCACAGTCCTAGAATGAAGTGCAACTAAACCATGACCAGGTTATTTCGGTAAATTTTGCAACTTTGATTTCTGCGGCAGCGCCTACTCGGTTTGGGGGTTTGTTGGTAAACCGCGACAAAACAGAACCCAGGAGTTAAATGTGTCTTCCAGCGCCTTTCCTTTAATACTTAAATGGCTGACTCACATTGCATGCATTTTTTAGTTGACAATTACAGCAATCGAAGCTGTGTAGCCTCATGAGCAGGTTACCACGAAAAGTCCCTTCAGTCCTGTGTCAAACTGTTTAGCAATCGAAAAACTGAACCACTACTAAGCATTTGGAATACTACTGGGTAAATGAGCATCCTGTTTTCTCAACTGTAGGACCCTAAGTCACGACACTAGCAAGTTCCCTGCGCACTTGCGCAAAATCGGAGTCGCTAGCTCCTCTACCTGTGTAGTAATATAATTACCTACCCCCATACTAGTGCATGTCTGTGACTAACATCTCTATTTGCCTTCAACCACTGATATACAGCCTAGTCAGTCATTCGACAAAGATATACAAAACCCAGGACAGGTAGGCTTTGGACATTTTCTACGTACAGATAAGATTCATTGTCTAAATTCCTCAACGAGCCCGTAAAACCGCATACTCTACGTGAACAGGTAAATAGTACTTCATTAATGCTACGGACTAAGACAACATTAATGTGCGGTACCAAACGTCCTTGGAGAGTGACAGCCTCAGAACCAATTGGACGATGCTTTCAATTCCATGCAGTGAGATACGTATGCCCCCCGGGTCGGCGATACAAATGAACTAATAGCAAGCCCGGGATTTAAAAATAGTTATATTTACCTGTTAGCCCGCATTGTCCGGTAGGAGGTGTTGGCACCGCTGGCAACTAATAGTTAAAGACATTCTGAAAAGGCACTAAAAAGCTTTAAAGGGAAAATTACTGAATTTAAATTTTAAAGTTAGTCTGCGTGAGGTCTTTGACAGCGGTCAAAAACTTGTGCGTTTGTGGTCCGACAGTCAAAGAGAAGTTCATATTTGTAAACGCACTTTCGTTCTTTCAGATGCGCTTGCAAGTAGGGCCTTATGATGACTGTTTAAGCAAAAAGTCCGATGCAAAAGAAGGGTACAATGATTTTGAGCTGAAGACTTTAGCAGATAAGAGTCCATGTCGAGAATACTGGAGCATTTGGCACCGCCGCATCTAAGACCGCTGTCTCATCATTTTAAAGGAGGTCAAAGAGAATACCCTGGTTATATGGATTTCTGCAGGAAGAAGTTTCGACAAGAACAGAGGAGACTTTGGTGACTACTTCTGGTTTATCAGTCATCATAGGCCAGACAAATCCCAACCCCAGGTAGGGATAACTGATATTCGAACCCCGGTTCTTGGTTCACTATGCAGGAGGACTACCGACAAGTACGAAAGCCTTGGGCTTGAACACAGAGGTTTGGACTTAGCGTCCAACGACCAAAGAGTCTGGGTTCGAATCCCTGAGTGCCCAAACCCCGACTTTGGCTATGGTTGATTGTCAATTATTGGTGTCCCCAAACTGGTCGTCCCAGTCTTCGTAGTCTTTTTTTCATTATTTATTCTGCATCATTATTATTTACTATGCGATTCCCTGTGAGGACTCTAGGCTGAGCTCCAAGGCGCAATGGAATGATCACGCTCCTTATTGTAAACTGGTCACCTCCCTCACGCACCTGACTCCGATAGCAAGGCAATGTGTAGACGGCCGAAAGCAGGTGAGGCGGCATTCGGATTAGGGTTAAGATCTTAGTTTAGTGTTCGGGTAACCGTGAAGACGTTTAAAAGTAGGATGAAACTTAGGAGGAGTCGGGCAGCGGTGATACTAGGATTAGAACGATTATTGTTGGTAGACTTAGGATGGAACCTAATCCTCATACCACTCACTTACCACCTAGCAAAAACTCTAACGCGGAACTTAACGATAGCCGTCAACCAGTGCCGTATTCGTAATCTTAAACATGAACCCTGACTCCTCTAAACAAGACAATAAAAAAACTCGGGATACGTTTGCCAAGGAGTTCATGGAAGCGCATCTTATCATTCCTTCACGTATATTCACAGCAAATATTCTCTTACGCAAGCATTTGGCCAGAGACTCTCTTAGGTTTATTCCCGTTCCCGTTACCTTTTTCTCTACTATTTAGGATACTTGACCTACACATTAGGCGCTTTCGGAATATGTCGGCCGAGTTACTCTTCACTGTTTTGCCCCTCCACTTCGAACCACTAGCCACAGGATGCTTATGAGCTCTCGAGCATAAAATTTCTGTATGATTGCTGAATCCTTGTTACTTTTGTCTCATATCCATAGAAAACAATTTTCGCCCTCTTACGTGAAACGTGATCTTCGTAAACTTTGAACAATTAAGGATAAGCTAAAGCAATTACCTGTGTTGCCAGATTTAGATTAAGAGCAGTTAAGCATAAAGGTGAAATTTTCCATGAATTTCCTGTTTCACCTCTTCAGGGTATACACGGTTTCGATTCAGTCGGCAGCACCAAGCCTCAGCTTGGCAAACACGGGAGGACCTCTCAGAATCAACAAGATAAACGAAGAACGAGGGAAATGAATCGAGCTTTCTGTCGTCTACGTACCTGCCTCCCTGAAATTCCTGCGGACACAAAATTAACGAAGCTCAAGACCCTACGAATGGCTATTTCATACATACGCACCCTTTCATTGGTTGCTGACTCGTCCTCACCCCTGACGGAACGCGTATCTCAAGCATGGAGTCCAAACGCGAGACCTGCCAACCACTGAGGTTGCTTTCAGTCGACAGATCCTTCTAGAAACGGGAAATTTTGATTAAAACACCGTCAAGCGTGGCCGTAAGGTCTTTTTACTCGTGGGTGAGACCCTTCGGAGTTGAAAACCATCAGTTTAAGCAAATTAACGGTAAAAAGTGTGCCCAACCGAACGAAAGTGCATCCACTTTCTAAGGGTGGATGATAACTAATAGAGCACGGGAATTCAAGGAGCTTTTCCTAAATCATAATCTAAATTAACACCGATATCCTCAAGTCCGCCATCATGTTGGTCAGTCGTACGTCGACTGAAAGAAGAAACAGCCGCTTTGAAGGTAGCATGGGGGGTACACACTCAGGAAGTAACGTATTGCCGAATTAACACAGAACTGACATTTGGGGACTTGAAAGCCTGTGGTTTATACTATATTTGTGCAAAGTTTCGGTCGCCTGATCTAAATCGTGATAACCCTAATTGTTGACACAAAAATATCCCATTAGGGCAAAAACGCAGATAAATTTGGTTTCCTGTCAAATACCTTTTTTCCAGGCTTTTGACTATCTCAGTAAAAATGAGATAGGAACCTAAGCAAAGTACTCATTTTTTGTTATTTACCGGTACTCGCAAAAGCCAGGGATGTTTCTTAAGATTCGTTCCTTGTAGTTCTTTTGCGAAAAATCCCGTAGCACTTTAAAAATAGGCAAGTAAACCCTGAAATACTTAACTTTTGAAAAGTTTTTTTGTTACTTTATTCAAATCAGTTTCCGCGCAACCAAACTATTCAGCACATGTGCTCCCTGAAAGGCTTTACAGATATATTTGTGTCTCTATGGTGGGATATCTGGAGGTTCGTACAACATCGCAAGATTTGTATAAGAACTGACAAGTTGTATATGCATAATGAAGGAACTGGAGAATAACATTTTCAGTAAGGCCGACTACTAAGGAATGGAGAGTTCATGAGGTTTGAAACTAACTTCTGCGAGCTGGATTTGAACCCCCGATCATTTAATTTCGCATCGTGTATTCTACCTCTGGATTGCCACAGCTCCGACAATCAGCTATGTAGTTTTATCGACACTCCCCTTAGCCTGACTCGCAGAGCGAGCCTATTTTCCACTCGGCCGACCTGCCAAATAATATCAGCGAACTAGCATTATCGATAAAGGCGAGGGGGACTGGAATGATCATTTCTGGCTTGTTAGCCACCATTAGCCAGTCATACCCAATCCCGAGGTCTGTAATACCTGGGGCTCGGTTCCGCGACCTGTTTGTTGGAAGTCCAACGCCTCTGACCACTGAGCCACGGGCTCGCTGTCGCGTTGGTTGCGATCCTGAATGTGCAATGGTAGGGCACGGCTGGCTGACGACGGCCAATACACGGGAAACGGCCGTTCCAGTCTCCCTTGCCCTTGTCGGCAGTACCAGTCTGCCTATATTACGCGCCGCTGTGCGTCTGCTGGCGAAGCTCAAGAGAGAGTGAGAGAGAGCCCCAAGGCACAACGGGACGAGTGAGCTCCGCAGCGCGATCGGTGACCGTCCCTCTAGCACTATCAAGTAATATTGTTTAATAGCATATGTTTTCCCATGAAGACTTATAAACAGAGCTTTTTAAAAAAGTGATACTTGGAGTACTAGGCGTTCGCTAATATTTGATGTGAAAAATAACTACTTCTGTACAGGCGTCAATAAAGAAAAATCTGCATTACATAAATACTGACTGGTTTTGAGTAGGATATTGTTGTGGTTGGGAAAAAGAGCTAATGACGGGTAGCCTAAGGATACAGTGAGACCACAGTTTATTTCTTATGCTATCTGAGCAATGACTATCTTTGGTGCTATTTGAAAACAGTGATGAAAATCCTTGCACAAGCTGATACAAAAACATTAGTGGAGGAGGTAGACGTAAGAGACAGGATTCCTGCTGACTCTCAGATGTAGACAGCATTTTCGGTCTGGAAGTATTCACCGCAAAGATGACATTGAAAGGGACAATCACTTTAGTGATGTTGTCTTCTTTGGCTGGCCAGAAGCCATACCCAGGCCGAGAAGCTTTGAGATTTTAGCCCTTACTGTGTTGCGTACTAAAAAACACTCTACAAGCTGAGTTACCAGCTCACATGGAAGTGACGCCCGTCTGCATATTTTGATCACAAGCTAGGATACGAAGGCTCCGCTTCCCTTCGGAGCTCTAATATCAAACGTTCTTCATTACTGATTAGTCGTTGCCTTGGGACTGTCTCTGAAGGTTAAAGTCAGGGCTTCAGATCAACACGGAAGTTATAATTCCGTCTGAAGTCACAGTTCCTTCGTCGAACATGCTGTGTAGTACACGGTTGGTATAATCATTCACGATGGTCGAACAGTCGACATAGCTAGAAATCACATTTATTCAAATACTGAGTATCAGGAAAGGCGGAAAAATCTTACTTCTGGCTTAGGAGAAAGCCCGTGGTTGAGTGCTCGAAATTTGTGGAGAGCTCTTTCTGCTGTCCAATAGCATCTGGATTTGCTAAGAGAGACGAATTTGACCCACTATTGATCTTTGGATTTGTCGGCTTCTAATATGCATACTTTGAGGGCGAGCGTATTCGAGAGGTATAGATAGCTCATGGGAAGGTTTAAGATGATCAAAGAAATTCATTTTATAGCCAGAGAGTCTGGGTTTTCCTCCGGGATTTTGGACAAAACCTCCTCCGCTGAGAAACGAGAGAACTCCAGGCGGCACTGGTACTGCAAAACATGCATGAATGAGGTCCTCAAAAACTTGCCGACATTAAGTATCTGGTTAAGGGTCTCACATTTGTAGTCACTAACCCTGTTAACCGACTAAACTGTTTCCGTTCACCAAGCGCCAGCTGCGCTGGTGTTTTCAAGCGCAAACTCACAAAACCCCCATGGACAGTAGTCAACCAAGAAAGTTACACAGCGGTTTTCTACTGTACACAGCATATATGCTTGTGGGGATAAATTTCACTTTTTTCTCTGAACTTAAAAGCTTCTGCCTTTATATTTAACCAGGAGTCGGGGATAGTTACTGTTCATTGTGCATACCTTGTCGTCATCGTGGTGAGTGGTCTCAGAGGCGAAAATGAATGAAATATCGAGCCGATATACTTGATTGCTGGACAAAACCATACCAAAGTCCATGAGTACTGTTCCGCAAGGAAATTATCGTGAGTGTTGGTAAAACGACGATTCCATGTTGGCAAAATGAAAGACGTCACCATGGGGTATGTTTGTCCGAGGTCCGAAGGTTCCAAAAAGACAGTGTCGTGTGCATATCATCAGAATCTGGGGTACCCAGCGCACCGCCCACACTATAAGATCGGTGGCTTGCGCGTACAACTAAGCCGTCGACGCGAAGATCCTAGCAGTGTCTTGCAGTTGGCGAACACGGCTGTGTTGTGCAGCCTAAAAGGCACACCTTATCATGGTAATCTCATCGCTTCAATGAGATTGAAAGTCATCCTATATCGTCGGATGGTATTTGGTAGCTTGAATAATGCTTTAATCTACGTGACTTTGCGACTAGACGACTCAGTTTAGTTTTGATATGATAAATGCAATACATAAGTAGCGTGGGCTCAAATCATGCAGAGCACATTGCCGGATTTAAGTGAATCCATAAAAGCTACTCGACAATAAAAAGGATTACTATTGGTGGATAAGGCACAGCATCAATTTGCGTATTGTCTACAGGAATAATCTATGGCAGCTCCTTTGTGGGCAGACGTTGTCGGACGAATTCTGTGGGTAAACAGGAATAAGAAGCAGAATATACACTGTGGTACGGCGAAGCTGGATCCCCTGTGAGAACAGGCTGGTAAACAAGACTGGTGTTCAGTCATGAGGGCAGTACGCTAGGCGCATAAGCAAAGGAAACAGCAGCGGTGCATTTCATAAACATTTCCACAGTCTCAAAGCAATTTGTTCAAACCTTAAACAAGGGCAAGTGGATGCGTACCCTGTGGTTCCCTGAATGGATGGTTTTCAGAGGGAATGTCAGGTAAATGAATCAAAGGAAACTGGGTGTCACTCAAAAAGCACAAGAATCCTGTCTCTCATGTTAACCATCTCCTAAGTAGTCTGTTTAAAGTCAGTCCTCGAACAATAAAAGCTCCAATTGATCATGGAAAGGCCGTGGCAGCGCACTCAATCGACGAAGGGATCTGGGTGGTTGGCTAAAAATCACTCTCCATTCAAATCCACCAACGAAGTAAAAAAATGTCTGAGAATACCCTCCGTGTATATTTGTGTTTGGTTACTTATAAACAACAGCTTTGAAATCCAATTGGCTTTGGCGTCCCTAAAGAACAATCTCAAACCATAAACCTCATTACGGATGAAATGTTGTGTAGGAGAATTGAACAAATGAGCAGATGTTGAGGTCATCGACCTAGGCGTCGGTAAACCCTGCGACGCAGGCAGTCACTGACTAGTTGAAAAAAGCCTTTAGGATTATTGTCCAAATGAGAGTTCAATCGACTGATATGAGGGCGTATTTTAGCAAAGGACCTTACGCATACGTCTAACAGAAACTACATCAATTGGACGGAGGGTCTCCGGCCGTGTCTCATGAATCTTTGTTACGATTGTGACTTTTACTCGATGGCATCAATGACTCTCCAGAAATGGTTTCCAACAGCTTTCTAATATCTGCAGATGGCATTAGAACGATAAAACAAATCATGGTGCTCCGTAAAAAAGCGTTTTACGAACGTATGCATGATAATCGACTAGATCCCGCAGTTAGAACAAGTTCCCTTTCCTCTAGGTAATAAAAACAGAACTTAGAAGTGTGTCCGGACAAAGCTACTGGTAACATTAGAATTTAAATATACCATAGTCTCCCAACGGGCCAATGCTAAAAAAATCGCGGTGAGCGTAGTTTGCTATTTTTCATATCTGTTAACACTTCCAAATCATCAGCAGAGCACTATTGGCACATTGTATAGAAGTCTGATCGACAGCACCTATAATGTTGGAAAAGTTCAGACCTTAGTAACCAAACCTGGTCAATCAAGTTGATTTCTGCGTCGAAAAATCTGCCGGAAAAATCGGATTTTCCATGTGCCGGTACAGACACCGGGTTCTGAAAGTAGGTAGAAGTCTTATATGGTCAGTGGAACAAATGATGTTGGTCATGGTACATTCACCTGGCATAGATGTCAGCGTAACAATCGAAGAAGTTACTAATAGCTGTTGAAGCTTTAATTGAGTACGCCAAATCGCTTAAGATTTTACCAGTGCGTCGTAAATATCTGGGTATTGGTGAAAAAGAACTCTTAACTACTACATGCCTGTCATATGAGAAGCAATCCACTTTCCGTTAGAAGCCGATGTATAACCTCGACATCAATAGTCAAGGAAACCGGAGTGGGGAGAAGGCGCAGGTGACTGGCACGGCCAAAAACCCGCACCTAGACGTACCACCACACTGACACGGGCGGATACTGAGCAGGATTTCATACACCAAGGAAAAGGGAGGGACGCCCCCGAGCCTTTTGGCGCGCTGACACTCCCCAACGTTGACATGTGTTAGGGGCGCACCCTCCCAATAACGCCTCCGCCCTATCTCCTGTGCTGGCCTAAGTCATCTAACAATTGGTCTGTTTTAGTTCCACACGCACCACAGCTCGACCGTCGATTTCGACGATGTACCCAGGGTGCCCCACAGCAGGGTGGGAGCAAGGACGGTGGCTAAGGCTTGAAATGGTTTATAGCGACGGTAGACTTGCACAGAATCTACTGCATTCTCTCCTCCCCCATTTGGGCCCGGTGTCAAGACAGTGTGGGAAGATCGGAGGCGGGATCGGTCGCATGTGGCTGATACGGCACAAAGGTGCGTCTAGGCGTGTCTTAGAGGCCACATTTAGTAGGAGTCATTTCAGCCTGACTCTCATTCCACCGGTCGGTTACCCCACAAAAACACATCCTGGGCTGATTACGAGGTCAGAATTATCCTGCCAGTTCGCTACCTTACAGGTCACGGTTCTTCACGCACCGCTATAGATTCAAGCGCGTCGCATTGTTTGTAGTGAGAAGTATACGCTAGGACCGTCGACCTCACTCTTTCCTCCGACTCCCAGGTACCAGTTCACTGCCCGAGCTAGACAGATGTCTGATACATGATGTGGGCGCAGTGTCTGACAAAGCTAAATATTTTGCCTGCGCACGCCACGCGCACTACCTGCCCCCCTATAGACACACACTAGGATTACACACGCGAGAGGTACAACGCTCGGACCTCACATGTAGCAGGGGAACCACACGGAGAAAAGAGTCGAAAAGTGCACTTTCCACCTGCGTGAGAGTTGCCAGTGATGTGGGTTATTGGGGGTGTTTATGCGTGGTGCATGTGTTAATGAGGAAGTCCATGGCAATTTGGTCATGTCCGCGGCGATCCACCGCAGGCTTTCATGAATGCGCATGTAAACAAATAGGCCCACGTGGTGGCCGAATGTGCGGGGACAGTGCGGACGGTTGGGGAGATAACGTTTGGTGTATGTCGGTGCTTCAAGAACTGGTTCGCCTGTCTCTGTGCAATGGATTCACAAGTGCCAGACCAGGCCGATACTTGAGGTGAACGTGTGGTGTCAGCATGGGCAGGGTATTTTTGGAGATGTGTCATTTGTCGTTGTGGTGCTCCAATTGGTGGACGCGCTGGTCGATGGTAACTTGATTGGGCTAGGGGTAGGAGGGATGGGAATATGCAAGGTTTGTTATGTGTGTCGATAGTGGGGTGAATTCGCTGTTTTGGATACAAATATGATCGAATGGTCTCATGAGGTACATTTATGTGCGTGAACAGTGTGAACAGTGAGGGAGGGTATGCTGAGTGTAATTGGAGGACCTTGGCACTGGTGCACCGGTCGCAATGCGATGGATTCTCAAGTGGACGGTCAAGCCTATGCATGAGGTGAATGTCTGACCGCAATGGGGACAGGTTAGTACATAGCCCACATCGCTGAAAATGGGGTAGTAATTGTGAGGGTAGTGTTTGACAGGCCGCCAGGATAGTTTTCGACTATGGTAGGAGTGAAATTGGGAGCTATGGTGGCTGCCGTCGTCGTACGAAGACTGTAGTAGGGATGAAGGGGATGGTGATGTTAAACAGCAGTGCTGAGGTCGATTGTCACAGTGGCCGCGACAAGAGTTGGATCAGGGACGATAGCAGGGGTAGTGGTTGGGGCTGTCGGACCGGCGCATTGAGCCCGAAGATGTCAGACGAGGTCGTTCGGGGAGCAGAATGTTCGTTGACAGCACGGGAATGTTGAGAGCTTGGTGTTCAGATGTAGACTGCGACGATTCCATACGGCATTCTGCTGCATGCCGAAGCTTTGGCTGATTTTAGAGATTCGATGAGCCACTTCGACGTCGACTTTTATGCAGCGAAAGTGTGCTACCTAAACAGGTGAAGTTGTCCACGGTCTTCAGTTGGGTGCCGTTAGCGTGAATGCGAGCAGCAATGTATGCGTTATTATGTGATGATTGATCCGTATCCCACGGTTCTCATCACGGTAGGTGTCCAATAACATGGCAGAGAACACAAGGTTGTAGAGAATGACGGACAAGGACTCAACTCTTTTGGCTATCATAAATACTTCCGTAGCAGCCACGTCGCCAGCGACGCGCGCCATTATCCTGTCGTGGATCCGACACATCATATGCATGAATCGTTCAGGACGCCCGAGTTTCTGCATGATTTTCCTCAGTCAAACGCGATTTAAAGTACCGAAGACCTTCGTCAAGTCCACGAATGTAGTATAGACATTGATTCGAATTTGCTGGCATTTATTTTGCAGCTGGCAGATCACGGAAATCATATCGGTCGTTCCATGTTGGCGTCGGAATCTACACTGACTCTCCGGCAGAAGTTCCTGTTGGAGATGTTCGTTGAGATGGTTTAGGAGAATGCGATGTTTAACTGCAAGATTCGTCCGTGGTTATCACTGAGTTGACGGTTCCCTTTCCGTTTGCAGAGATGGCGTTTCGAGTTTATTCATCGGCTAGGGATCGCCTTGCTTCTAGACCTCGGCCGGAATTGCATCGAATCCAGGTGTTTTCCGCTGGATAGTTGGTGGACGGTTCAGATTACTTCTGCGAGAGGAGGCGGCAAATCAAGTTTGTTATTTGATTCCGCCTGAAGTAGTCGGTCGATGGCGGCGTCCGAACTTGTCAATGGGCGATTGCGGACACTTCAGTAATTTGCACACATGACAGTTCGACCGTCGTTCACGACGATGTCCAAAGTATACTCCACAGAAAGGTGAAGCAGATAAGGTGACTTACACGTGAACTAGTTTATAGTTAGAATAGACTTGCACACCATCTACCGCACTCCCTTCACCTTCCCCACCTGGGCCAAATGTCAGGACTTAGATAAAAAGACGGAAGGCGGGGAGAACTTAGATGGCTGGCAAGGCCAGACCCGCACCTAGGAATACCAACACACCTCCTGGTCCACAATGGACATTGACCAGTATGTTATACCGAAACAAAATTTGGTGCATGAACGGACCTTGACGGGTACGATGTAGGCCGGAAACTGGGCTCGTCGCCGCTGTAGTGTAAACAGCAATGAAAACTACAAAGAATAATACTTACGTAACTCTAAGTGAGGGATGCTGCGTTTCTTACAAGAAAAATAACGATAGGGAAAAGATTACAAAAACGCAAAAGGTAAATAATTGTACAGACTGACGAAAAATAAAGCCATCTCAAGAATCATTGGTCAAAGAGTGAATGTTCTGGGTAAAATGCCAGGGCGAAGTCAATTAATGAAGATTGTCGCTCGGGGGAATTTATGTCCAGTTAAATATGACCGAATGATATAAATGTTTCGGTCGATTAACTGAAAACGATTGAGGCGAATGAGTGCCATCAACGAACCAATGACACCAAGCAGGAGACAGACACAAAAGTTACGTTTTTTTATCGAGCCGAAACCAGATGTGTATTTTGGCTAATTTTTAAACAACTATACAGGAACGTTCAGGTGTATAAGAAAGTTTAATGTGAAGAATCGATAATGTACGTAAACCTACACCGCACTCCAGTGTTGGCAATTTATGTGTGCGCATTCCCGATAACGCCTGCTGGATTCTGACCTAAGGCCCGTGGTGGTCCGGCGCATCTACCGCTCGGTCCATTTTAGATTCCAATAAAGGATATGCGCATATATTATCGAGGACGATCTCATACTTAACTCTTTGTTTGTGTACAGTTACACGTGTATCGACGAATCACATACTTTTGTAATTTCTTATTTTCGCGATTCTTAGAGTGCACCCAGCCTCTGTAAAAGCTATAGTGCTCTCGCCTCATCTGCCAACACCATGTTACAGGTTCCTTTTTGTCTACACCATAACTCATCACGTGTCGAATCGTTTATGGCTACGCGCAAAACATACCCGCTTTCACATTCAAATTAGATAGAGTAGATGTGACCAGGTATAATACCATCGACTTCGTTATGGCGGTAAGTCCTACCGTTTCATGACCTATGCACTCAAAAGTAAATTCGTGAATTCTGTGTCTTACACATGCGACCTATTTAATTTCCCACCATAATGGTGCTACTTTTAACTGTGTTTTAATATGTCAAACAGGTGAAAGGGACTTTGAATTCTCTTATTGCTGATGGTGGTCACATGTTAGGTAATTTACATATTAAGCCTTACACATTACGTGTTCAGACAACAATCCCCAGCTTCTCTCCTATTATCCTGAAAGACGAAACACTGTGCACGCCTGCGCCTTTTCTCAGTGCGGTCGGTACTTCGCGTTTGCTGAAAACACTACAAATGTCTTCGTCTACGACTTTAATTCACTCATGTAAGTTAATGGAGAAATTCGGAATGACTCACTGTGCTTAAATATTTATACGTCTTTTTAAAAAGCATACTTCTCGGATGTTGAATCCCCTGTTACCATATAATAACAGAACTGTGTAATAGGGAAGTAACATGTATGCCAATATCGTGCTGATTAGCGTTTCCCACCAAGTTTGTTTCGTTGTGTCGTCAAGTGTGCGCAAACGTCTCCCCGAACCCCTACGTCGCCCCTCCTGCGGGAAATATCTAAAAGCACAAGGGAGCATTCTTTTTTCTGGAACTGTTAAGGCAGTGAAAATAAGTTTTGACACTTAGCAATAAGTAGAAAGCTGGCTAATCTGCGGTACTTTAGACTGTTCTGTGATAGGAAGCGGCCGAGTAACTCTTGGTCACCGGTTAGCCGCTGCGGGGGCAGCCCTCTTCAGAATGCTCCTAACCAGCCTCGATCTATTTGAGTGGGACCCCACCGACGTTCCGACAAAAAAAACCTATACTTGGAGATCAAGTGGTCTTTTTGGCACGTTAATTGTATATTTACTGCCAACGCGGGCCTTTGTCACTCTGATGTTCAGCTTCCTCAAAACGTCTATACTATTGAGTAGCTTTTTTTAATTTTTTTGGCAAGCAGTGGCCGTATCCTTTTCTTCATGAGATTCTGAACCGTCTCCTCCCAACAATCCATCATACATGGCCGTTGAGCGCAGGTTAATGAAACCAGTCATCTCACTGTTTGATATGTGTAGAACTCTTTGGAAAGAACTAATCCCAGCAAGCATTATCTGAAGCGACGGCGAAGAGCATATTTAGATCCCCTGAGGCTGATGCCTGTATGCTGGTCGCTGACCACCACGGTATGTCACCGACCCTCTGTTGTGTAACTTAAAGTTCCTGGCACATAGGGAGAAACGCAGGTAAGTATATGAGAAGCGGAGTTTGCGCTTGTCGAGTAAGGCTGTGTGGAAATCCTCGTTGTGAATGCGCCGGCGACCGCCATCACTTGCAGGCTGTAATTGACGGAATTCGATCACAATGGAAGTATAGTCTAGAAGTGCCAAATGAGATTGATCATACATTTCGCTCAAGTGCTTGTTGATATATTCTGCGGGAATGGCAATCTGCAATTTGGTGCTGTGGCAGTGAAGCCAACCAATAGCTGAAGACTGACCGATCCCTGCCCGTCCTTTCACTCATTTCAAGTACCCGAATTTCGCCAATTGATTCACTGAAGTCGCGGACACATTTTCATTTTTTATTTCATGTCCAGGTGCGTGACCTTCGCTGCCGTTAGACGTGGAACTACAGTCCTACCGACACGACAAACGACAAAGAAATGTCATTTCGTTGAGGACTTTACATCCGTCGGACTTTTCGCGACGCACGTCTTTGGTGGAACTTATTTTACTTTATGTTATGCATTATACGTCGCAAGAAAAAGTAAGAAAGTCGAAAACGGGCCTCCTGTCTGGGACGTAAACGTCAGTACAAGCACGCCCAACACGGTCGATGTCGCAAGTGGAGTACGCACTTGTTCGAGATTAAGAGAACCATCTGGAATCTCTGGATTTTTTTATCCGAATCCACATTGTAATAGTCATCTTCCATAACCAATTCCAACAACATATTACTTCGACGTCAATGACGCCGTGTGCGGTAGAAAGCGCGTTCATTGCCAGTTTTGTCGCCGATACGATTGTAACTCAGTGTTCACCTGTACCCACGCGCTGCCCCTCCCTGTTTATGCCCCCATTTCCGTTAACGCGATCGTGCGGCCGCGCACGTGACGAGCCGCAATTACGCCGCACTTGCGCCTAAAAGGCCTGCGGACGTTGTTTCCAGATCCTGCGATCAGCGTGCAGCGTGGCCGTCAGAACGCTGTGACGGACGCAGCATGCGCACGTATATGCGAGCAATGCGCATTAGGTCACGCGTGATCATGCGTCAGCCGATATGATACTCACGCTTCAAGGCGGATTCCTGTCCCAATTAATCAGAAAAACGACGTCATTACTAGCGCGAAAAGTCTACGTATGTGGACATGCATTCGATGCTGGTTATACTGGAAGTTTTTCATTACTATTATTGGTTTTGTTACAAGAAAAGTGACATAAATTTAAGCCGGAATTGCATGTAGTTTAATTCTGAGTAGACTAAGATATTTTTCTGCGTCAGCCACTGCACTTACTCTCATATCCAACCTACTCGACTGCAACTTGCCACAGATACACGGTAGGAGACGCGAGAGTGTGTGAACGACTGTGGCCTATTACGACATGCCGAACATCGTGGCTTGGAAAGTCACCAAATGACGGGATAATCCAGCCTTCAGAATGAACGTCAAGGTGCAGTGGCTCCTTTCTCTGACTTTGGTGACATCTTTCAGTTGTTTGGGATCCTGCCAGTTATGTTTGCTCTGTGTGGATTGAGCTGCCAGCATGTGTGCGGCACGTGAAATCGGTGGCGACGGTCTTGTCAGCTGTTGAGCTTACGCCTGTCTCAACCGGTCTTTATCCTGTGTTTCCATTGAGACACGATAGAAATGGGAACATGAAGTACGATGGATACTGCGCACGTCCCCCATCCTCACTATAATCCAACTCACTCTTAAGTCAATATCTCCTCCCAAGGCACGTTTGTTCCTCATGTAATCCAGTAGGTTAACGGTCTGACTTCGTTTTTCTTCTTCCATGTTAAAGTTCTTTCCCTTATGCCACATATCGTGCTCTCCACCAGAGACTGTATCGAACATGACTCCGACCCTCGCCCAGATGTCGCCTCGGAGGCAGGCAGGCCCGGAAATGTAAGAGTCCCGTCTGCAATTCCTGCTGCACCTCTTCCAACCGGTGTCTGGATTAAAAGAACGGTCTGGGACGTTAGTGGTCGTGGCGATCATGCTGGTGACCAGCACGTATCCCTTCCTGCCCTATTATCTATCGAAACCAACGGAACCATCAACCACCTAGCTTTCGGTCATGGCGATATTACTGCCTGTCGTCTTCCTCATCGACTTCCCAAGCGCCTTTCTCGGGTGACAAAGTCGGAGACCGCGTGTGTCCTCGCCATTGCTCTCTCTACCGGTTATATCGAAGTTTACAATGTGGACTTGCTGCATTCATGTCCCCAAAGTAAGTGTCATAAGCCTTTTGCTGTTCGTTTATCTCGCATCCGTTGTCTGTCTTCAACGGTGTTTCCTTATTGGGGATAAAGTTAGTCCACATCGCCTTGTCTCAGTGGACGTTGTCCACGTGAACGACAGCCCTGCCGCCGACTTACTCCCGAAAGCTTACCGCCGAATCAATATTGTTGTTTCACTTTCTCCTTTAGATAGACACGCTTTATTTTCTCCTTTCACTAGTCTGCACAGAGGTTTCTTATCATTTCCTTTTTAGCCCTCGCCAAAATGGTGCTTTTTGATGGAAACCAGCCCATCGTTCACATAACGATGGCCTCCGACGGTAGTCTACGCCTGGCCTCCGTTAGCTCTATGGGCGTTGTGAAATTGTGGGACATTTGGGACGATGGTAACATGTATGCCACTCTCACCTCCGACGATGAGGACTCGACCTCCTCCATCACCTCCTTTAATGACCTGTTAGAGATCAATGCTAATAAACGCCTAACCAATGAAATCAGCGTTGTCGCCTGGCACCCCTTCGGAGAGCACCTCTTCCTTGGGGACGTTCATGGCTGTGGCCTGATCTTGCAAGTTCGTATAAGCATTTTGATGTCTTTTGTAAGCCCTTTTGGGTTGTTTTTAGTCATGAATGGTTAAAAGTTACTTTTTGATTCGGCCATATAGTTATTGGTTTAATCTTGACTTTGGAATTCCTAACACTCACCTACATCTTTAGTGTTTCCTCTTTTTACCGTTCCCTTGTGTAACCGACTGAGACTTCCGTCTTTTGTACCCCTCCTCCAAAGCTGACTAGGCACCCACCTTTTCTTGAGAATCGTGATCTTAACTTTACTCGTGCGAGTGTGCCGTGCTCGTAGCGATACATTCGTATATCTCGCGATATCTCAACCGCTCAATGGCTGCAAAATAGCCCTGTTGGGGTGGGGGGGGAGGACTTTAACCGCTTAAACCTCCTGCGAGTTAAACCCTCCCCTCATGAGATTTCTCTCCACAGATATAATTCTATCTTGGTAAAGGACGGGTATGTGTGCCTCCCTGAACTATCTTCCTAAAAGCCCCTACTTATTTCGCTTTATTAAAATAAGCATGCGGACCAAGTAAATTTTTTTCTCTTTCCTCTTATATAATACCCCTCTTACCACTCTTCCCAAATTACACGCGTTCGTGTGCCGTGGTTTGGAAGGGGGGGGGAGAGAGCTCACAGATCTATCTTCGATCCTTGTCCTTTCCTCCGAAATCTTATGTTCCCCACCTCTGCACACAATTTAGCAATTTTAACAGCATTCCGAAGCCGACAGCGCCGCGCTTGTAATACTGTGTGAGACGGCGCAAAATTAATCGGTTCTTTCAGTTATTAGTGAGGATAGTCGTCTCCGAGAACGACAAATGGTGCAGCGGGCAGAATAAAGGCAATCCTATTTTCCTTTCCCACGGCTCAGGACGACAGTCGTTGCTCCAGGTCAGCTAACGGCGCGAGGCATAGTGTTTTTAAGGTAAAGTAGAGTGTTCGAGCTCTGCCACCGTCAATTTATTCGTCCCAGAATCAATCATCAGAGGCAAAACATGCGACATCTTCGCGATTATTTTTGTCAATTAACCGCCATCGTTGTAAGTTCGAAGATTTTTACGTAAGGCAGTATACACAGGTGGAAAATCTATACACCCCTTAGTCCAGTTGCTATCATGGCTTTAGGCTCCAGCTAGGTCACGATTCCTCCTACATGTTTCTCGGGCGATTACATTGGCGGCGACGAAGTCATGGAAATGTCCTGTTCCAAGCGTGCGGATAGCGATTTGTGACGGCCGATTACCCCGTTGCGCATCTCCGTTTTCTTTCCTTGTCCTCATTACCATTCGCATTCAGTTGGTGCGCATAGTTGCAGGAATCGTTAAGACGTGGGGTGCAGTACATTACCCTAAATTGCCCAGCCGTACTTAACTGGTCTCAAATTTTCATGTCGCAGTTGCGGTCCGTCGTTATAGGAGGGTGTATAGTCCAGATCTATAAGTCCACAACAATGCGTTCTTGCCCTCCCGGACCATTTATTATGTCCTGTAAGATGCGCCTTATTTTCGCTCGTCCTTCCAGCCAAAGTATCTGACGACGGAAATAAAGAAGCCGAGATGCGAAGACTCTTGAGTAGCAATTCAGCATTAGTGGTGTGTTTTTAGTGGTTAATTGCACTGATTGCCATAGCCGTCAGGGTCAGTCCCACTTAGTCACAACTGCAAGTGGCTGCTTACTGAGAATATGTAGACGCACGCCTAGTCTGTTTCGCTATATGGCTGTCCGCTAGCTTCTCACCACTTGCCCTCTGATCCTATCCGCCAGCGTACAGGGCGTCGCCCGGAACGACAGGAGTTACGTAGGACACGTTCACTGTGGTATGAGGTGTTGGTGGAGTGCTATACCTTGGTGCCATAACACGCCTATATGCTTTTCTTGAAACGCCCTTCTCAGATGTCGCTTATCAAATCAGTTGAGTGGGGCCCAGAGAAGTGTTGCGCCCCGGCGTGGTAAAATGAAATCCCACAGGTATTTAAAAAGATAGTTGTGTTTCGAATCATCATCAGTATAGCGAACGGCTCCTTATTATTGTCGTGTCGTCGGTGTCTTTCGAATTAGTCAGTTCACAACTGAAAGGAAATTATTCTATGCCAGAAGGGGGATTCCCAACCGTAACGCTCATTACTATATTCCATGCGTTAAGGGGTATCACTAGACCCTCAGCACATCGCGCCTCACTTTCAGGAAGACCCAACATTTCGGAACGATGTTTTACGAAATTCCCCGGTACAGCCACCTCTAGATAGTCTTCCACTGTCGTAATTTACAGCTGCTGGCATTATTGTTACCTATTTACTGGTAGCACTGTCTTTGTCAATGCATCTTCACCATACAGCCTTTGTGCACATTCATTCGCCTCCCCGTGGAGCCGTCCTACTACCCTGCTATTTGCCCTTTTCTCTCAATGGAAAAAATGGGAACACCGAGAGGATGTGGCTTGTCCTTTAGCCCCACAGCGGGCTGTAAGGCATGTCCAGATGATCGTAAAGGTGTCCTTGTGTCCTCATTTTCATGCAAACGCTCCAACGAGGATGGGATGCAATGAATTTAGTTGTCGAGGAAAATCATTAAGGCGCGCTCCTTTATTACCCTATCAGTTGACGTCAAAGTATGCATACGCCCTCTGGAGCTTCCCTTTTGCCATTAGAGCTTTTTAATCCCATATTTATTCCGTAGTTCTAACGCTATTTTTATGCATTCATCCAGAGTAATTGTCTCCCTCCCATGATCCCCCCCCCCACCTAATTATGGGGCAGCTTTACTGCTGTAATCGTTCCATCCATCAACAGTTAAAAGCCCGATCAGGAATGCTGCAACGCAAACTGCCTCTCAAATTTCATTAACACGACTCCTTTTTTTCAGCCGCCGCAAAATAACTGTCTTACTTTTTTCCATCTCAGTTACCCGTAAGTTACTTTTCTCTCATTGATTTACTGCGCTTCCGCTCAGTTATTTCGCAACTAACATACGTCCTGTGTAAAAGCGCCAATGTCAAAACTGGCCGTCGAGTACCGCAGAGTTTTGTCAATTTGCAAAACAGCGGATTTTTCTGCTGCCGTGAGCCAGTGTGTAGTCCGGCGTTCTTTATCAACTTTACGACCAAAGACTCCTGTCTGTCTGTCGTGTACACTACTGACAGAATCTCTGAAAGGACGTCTGGTCGCCTTTCGAGACCTATGTGGTGTGTCTCTGATGTCAACAGCCGACGCTGACAAGAAGTCCATTGCGGTCGTTACCTAAAAGCTACCCGAAGCTGTGACGACGATCGGTCTGCTTCGGCCTCCTATCCCTAAATTTTGGTAGGAGTTAAATGAGTTCGGAAGACGTCGAATGGGCATGAAAATTGACCCTTTCGACGGTGTCTTTGGGATTAGTTATCTGCTCAACCTATTCAGGCGCACGTCGCTACAAAATCCATTTCTGTTTCCTGCTCTCAGCACTTACACGACTGCGTGCCCTGCTCTCACTGGGACCCATTAACGCGACCTGGGAGTCCGCATTGTTTATGCATACCGCTTTACTGAACTGTTAGCGAGCAAAACGTCTCGCCATTTGTTCAACATTCAGAGACTGCTTCAGTTCTTCAGCACGTGCCCTTGATAAACGGCTGGCTGAATTAACCGCAGTCTACAGTTCAATACTATTATTTACAGTACGTAACCCAACAGACGGAGGGTGTCAAAATTTACGAATGATTGCTAACCACTCGCAGACCAGTGCCCATGCATAGACCCTATATACATGATAAGGATAATCGGAAACAATTTTAAGGGAATTGAAAGCATAAAAGAAATACAGGAGGCGAAATTACGTTGCGCAGAAATACCAATTTAATGCAGAAAAGGTGAAAATTTCGAGAATATGGAAAATGGTGGTAATTTAGTAAACTTCGGTTTTTTATGTAAAGAAGCCCTGCCTATTCAAAAAGCTGAGAAAATATGATGGCGCAAATAGAATGTTTGACAATAGTTTTTATTGAAGTTTACATCTAAATATCCTTTAAGAGTTGGTGTAATGTCAGGTATGGCGGTTTGCTAACAGCCTACATTCTTAGTATATCTTCCGAAACGGTTTCCTGAGCATTCACTGTATTTTCTACGACTTCGCATTGATTAACATATGTTTCAATAAAAAAAAAGCTGGATTTTGCTTAATTTCGCTGATAAAGGACGTCATAGGAGTAAAATTTTCCTTGAGGTCACATGTCGCCAGGCCGGTTGTTGACTAATAAATTTAGGTAGATTCGGCAGATGTGATCGCAAACATACTATTTTGTGTATATAAATGGAACTTTTCCTTCGTGACATTAACGTGCACTTGTCCTTTGTTCTGGATTGCGTTAAGTTTCAGATCGGCCTTCAAATATCGCTGAGCACTTCATGACTTTCAATGTTTTTAATCTATTGCTCTTCCTTTAAGTATAGAATTTGAAGAAGTAAATTTCTGCTAAGTGAGTAAGGGAATGAATACTTTTATTCATGTTTTCCATGAAGTATATTAAAATTTACGAGGGCATCGAAAATCAGTGAGAATAGTTCATGCTACTTAAGTAGTCATTTTTTACAGTGTAATTTTTGTAGGCGGCCGAAAAGTAGTTCGTTCGAAAGCTTACATCCCGAAGTAAGTGTATTATCATGGGATTATATTGCACGGTGATAAATATTACAACCCTATTTTAAGTAATCTTTTTGAGTCGAAAACGCATTTGAGAATTTCGGTTAGCATTTCATGAGTTAGCACGTCTACTGTATGTATACACTATGTGTCCCCTGAAACGGGCCATATGGCAGTTGCGCCGAACCAACACGAGGATAAAATTGGGATATACCATGCGTTATTGGACTGCGCACCCATGACAAATACTACACACGGGGACGGTAGCACGTCTAGGCGCAGCCTCACGGGGCGTTAGCTATCTGCTCCCGATCTTGTCTCCGGTCATCTTGACTCTGTCCTGACACCGGGACTTGTTTTCATCCTGCTCTGGGACATACGGTAGACATCGTAGTTAACGACAGTCGAACTGTCGTATGTGTTATTTTCTTGAAGGCTTTTTCCGTAAACGACCGTCTGGGCTGTACTTACAAGCTGGCCAAAAGAGAGACTTCTTCTCTGAAAAAAAGCCACTTTCCCATCAAAGGCCTCCGATAAATACCGTAGATGTGCCGTCTCACGAAATTTTGGCCGAAATCTTGATATTTTTTCGATTCGAAAGGATTACTTAAGCACGGTTGTAATATTAATCATTATGCAGCATAATCCTAACATATTTCAGTCACGCCAGGGTACCGGCTTTTGAATGAGCTGCTTTTCGACCGTCAGCAAAAACTACACTCGTAAAAATGACTACTCCAGTAGCGTGCATTTTTTCCAATTGATTTTCAACACCCCTGTAAGTTTTAATATATTATGTAAAAACATGCACACAAATGTTCTTGGCAGAATGCTCTTACCGACAAAGACAAGGGAGACTGGAATGGCCATTTTTGGTCTATTAGCCGTTGTCACCCAGTCATACCCAAATCCGAAGTGTGAAACACTCGAGGCTCGAACTCGCGACCTGTTAGTTAGAAGTTCACGCCTCTAACCACTGGGCCACGAGCTCGTTGCCCTGTCGGTTTCGATCGGGGACAGACAATGTTAAGGGGCGCTCACCGATCGTTCTTACGGAACTCTCTCGTTCCGTTGTGTTTTACTGGCTCCTGCTCATAATAATTTGGTAGCGAATTGCGTCTCCTCTAAATTGTCTACTTGAAAAAAGGGTATTTTGGTTTTAAAAGAGTTTCTAATTATGAGGCTTTTTAGGACAGTGAAATTTCCATATAGCATCGCATCAGCACGTTTATTAATGCTGCTTGCGAAATATGGAGTCTGGTCCACATCCACTGCACAATTCTGCATCCCACATGCCGTCTTCACAACAACGTAGAGAAATGTGTATGATATTACTCTGACGGCAGCAAGTGTAACGGCAAGCCGGACAAAAATGGTTCAAGAACTGAAAAGTTTTTAAAATCCGAAAGATACGCCCCCTTCAAGTAGAAAATTTGAAAGAAAACGTAATTTGCTACCACATGAATACAAGAGAACATGTGCATGCTTTCTATGTAATATATTCGGAGTTCTAAAGGCATCAAAAATAAGCAGGAAAAATACATATTACTTAAGTGGTCACTTTTTGCAGAGTGTAGCTTTTAGACACAGGGGGAAAGACTCTCATTCGAAAGTCGGCATCTTGGCGTGACCGAAATGTCTTAGAATTATGCTGCATAATAATTACTATTACAAATCTATCTAGACGATCTTTTCGAATCGAAAACCTATTTTAGAATTACGGTTAACATTTTGTGAGATAGCATACCTGCTTAATGCTCCTGATCATGGAAAAAGACTTATCTAGTAAGTTTTCTGGTCGGAATTTTTCGCAACAGAAATTCACAAATGGTCAATATGTCTCTTATTTTTTCAAAATAATATCAGGACGAGAATTGACAAATTTTGCTCTAGTGTGCACTTACTCGACTGGTACTGATTTCTTTTGTGTACCAGAAGAGCATATTTACTTTGCCTAATTCTGGGTCGTCTTATGTCATTAGAAATGCGTCACAGTTTGTCAGATAACTCTTGCCGTGCACATTAGTTTTTTTAAATTACAACCCCTGACCTGAGTCGTGCATTATTCATGAATTTGTGGGAAATGCCTCCTACCCGGGGAAATGGCTGCAATCCGTCCACAAAAACACCTAGTTCAAAATCAATAGCCCTCAATTAAATGAAAACGTCGAATTATGGAAATTAATATGATGTTGTTTCGAACTAACAATGTTTTTGAAGGGTGGAAATACTAAAAGCTCAAAACTCTATACCAAGGGACTAATTTAATTTATGGAGGCATGTCCCTTCAAATAAAAATGACCAAAACAGCATAAGTGTAGCTACTTTTGAAAAGGGTCTCTGGATACTTACCAGGGTCAATATCCGCCAATAAGTAGTGTAGTACAACAGCCAGTTAACAGCTTGATGTTTATCAAAGTTTTTCCAAATGATTTGATGGATTGGAAATTGAAATATATAATTTTCGCACTATTCAAGATTCAGTTAACGACGTCGGCGATTTTGTTTGATTTCAGGGGTGGAAAGTCACAAGGTCACATGCCGTCTGTATACCTGGTAAATTTTTTTTCATAAGGTACCTGTGTACCTTCCGGGATCAGTGAAGTTTTTTGAGTCTCGGGGTGTCCTTAAACTTCCAGTGTATAGTTTGTTACTTTCTGTGTTCGCAGTAAATTGTCCAGAAAGATAGGTCCTATGGTTTGTGGTTGTCAAAATCTTCAGAATAAACAATTGTAGAAGCTTCTGCCCACGTATTGGATTTTTCGACGTCCTTTTTTTCTACGGATGTCAGTTTTGGTCGTATCTCTAGGCCTCTGGGTGGAAAATGTTCCCGAACAATTTCTCTTTAAGAATCGTTTTGCCGTGGTTTTTCCTGAATTAATTCCAACTTCCTTAATTCCCCAAAACAGAGTCGGCAAAGGATTAAGGCGTTCTACTCGTTTATGCACTTCCCTGACTAGTAGTGGCGAATTTTCAATCTAATGCAAAAAAAGGTTTATTCCGAAATCGTTCTTGTCGAATTTGCTTGACTCTGAACCAAATTCTTTGATCTTAAATGTGTCATGGGTTGGCTAAGCAAATATTGAAATATTTAATAGATGCTTTCAGTAGGGGCTTCGTAGTTCGGGTGGTTAGAGCGTTGATTGTTTCAAGCCTTGCTCCTACGGAGGCCACGGAGTTTTTCACAAATGAGCCAAGTGCAATATCAAGATATTTCTTGTATGGGTACTACGGTAGCCGCGCCTCCAAATTGCATATTCACTAGAATTAAACCGCACAAAAGAAATATCTTACCATACGCCCAAATTACCATGCGGTAGATGACCCTTCTTGTTGGCTTTTATGATAGTTATGACTGTTGTAAGACGAAAGGCTTCTCTTCGGTCTTAGTATTGTTTTAGGGCACAAGATGGCATTCTTTGCAAATCATGATTTTTGAGGAGAGGACTTACATTTTTCCAATAATTATCTGGTTATTCACGTCCTTCCTTACCTGATTTACGTGCACAGGAGAATTAAAATTTCATGTTCGTAGGGGCCATCTCAGCAAACCCCGCCTCGTTTAGCCTTATTTCTCCCTACAAATGAAGTATATGGAAGTATGCAGATGTGGTCCTCGGCAAGTAATGGCATAGAAGATTGCCTGGATATGACCAAGAGTCGGTCTCCGCCCAAAAGATACCTTATTCTGTTAATGGAAAGCGGAATCATGCGAAAACCACTTTGTCTTAGTCAATCGCGTCTCAAAAAATGCGAAAAGGGAAAATTTACAGCGAATTCTCGTGAAGCCGTTTTGGAATCTATACTCGAACTTTCAAACCCAACTTATCCCAATAGGCCTAGCAACATGGTTACTGTATGTTGAAATTTCGAGTACTTTGTTGCCCAAAAATCCTTCGTTTTTTTCCGAATACGGCCACACCACGTTAACTTGCGTTTCTCTTTAAGGTCGTTTTATGCTATTACAACTTCGATCCCTTAACCCTGCCAGCAGTTTTTTGCCAACCATGATGCACTTTTATTTCAGAATCTCGTCTACAGCGCCTCTATCTGTTATCAAATCTTCTAATCTGCTTTAAGGTTTATGTTTACTATCCCATGCTAGGCCCTCAGGGCTTTTTTGGCAGTCATTTATGTAGCCACCTTCGGTAATTTGTTTTTATAAGCCGGATGATGATTTCCAATAATGATTGACAGAGTCCGTTAAACTAATAAAGGCCTGAGTAAAGTCTCCTATCTCATTATCACTTTGGCAACCTCATTAGTTTTTCACATGTCATGCCATTAGCCAGTCTTTTTAAATACTCCAATCCTAAATGGTCTCGCCTTTTTCAGCACCGATCCACTTTGAGTGCGACTTATATCTGTTGATCGAAAAAACAGTCTTACTTATTAGGTTTCAGTAGCCTTTTATGCGATATTATTCAGGCTCAGTCGCCGTATCGATGCCTTACTCTTCTGCGCCACCATCACCTCATCTCAGCTGCCTGTTACAGCCAGGATGGTGGTCTTCTCATCACTGCGTCTTTCGATGGAACTTGCGTTGCCTGGGCTGTACCCTCCTATACCAAAATACACTGCTACTGGTAAGTTTTGTTGTACCGCATCTGTGTTCATTCGTGTCTGCTCCAAATGTTGCTCATTTCCTAACGAGACCGCCTGTGTCATGGCAGAGGCTTACTATCGATTGGAATTCCTGTTGTCTTATTGAAGCCCTCAGTTATCATCCAAAAAAGACCCTCTGTCCCTAGCCAGAATAAGGGGGGTTGCCCTAACATTCATCTGAATAAGTTGAACCATTAAACAAACCTGATACAAACACAAACTGCAGGAGTACGAATTCCATAAGGAAATTTTGTTGTATAATTTAGTTTGGGTCATCACTTTACGTACCATTTTAAGATACGCGGCGGCTTTGTGACTTTTTAAGGTTTTTAAAATTGACAGTCCTAAGAAAATCTTGTTCTGGTCAGATTTGGATAACTCATCATCGAATTTCACTACATGTTTGGTATTGTATTTCGTTTTCACAACTTTTGCCCCGGCATTTTTTAATTGTCTAGGCCTCTTATGGTTGTTCCCTTATTAATGTAACTTTTCAGACGCGAAATTGTACAGTGTTTGCGCAGTTACTCAAGTAGCAGTAACTCAGAGCCCCCCGATAGGACAATTTGTTAAAATACTTTTTGTGAGCTTATGCCCACACCTTAAGATGCACAAAATTTGAAATGACGCAGCTTTTATTTTTTAGTACTTTCTAAGGAAAAGTACTGCAACTTTTTGGAATAAGGGTTAGATTCTCCATAGTCAGTACGCGTTCTGTTCCACTTTATTGACTTCTTATGCTCGTTTTTTATCATGGCCATGCTTGTTTTCTTGGCCACCATATGTTCTCGGTGGAAAGCGCTTGTTGGATTTTTACATGCCCACTCATGCGTAGAACGCAGTTGTTCGCATTTGTTGCGCTTCTCTTGAAGGTCCATGTGCGCGTCATGCCCTCGCCCACCACTTCCTCGTTCCACGCCAGACCTAGGCGCAGCGCCGGATAAGGCTGACTCAGTCCGGTTCTTTTCGCTCGTGGCCAACCGCTGCACTCTGATTGGCCCTCGTTCACTGCCACACCGCCAACGTAGCGGAGTGTCGGATCGATGCCTGCTTTATCATTGGCTGAAATCGTCGGCCCTCTCCGCTTGATCTAGCCTACCCGTCTGCATCCAAACCTCGGGCCTGTCAACCCAAATTTCGTTGTCAGCGCAGCCCAGGCTCTAAAAGAGCACTTAGGTGCAGAGCTCCTATCCAACAGTCTTAGTCTGGTGCCTGTGTCTCATTTGTCATAGCCGCGAAGATTTGCCCCTGAATCTCCAAACCACCGCGAATGCTAGTGTGCACATCTTCACGGTCACACTTGCACAAGTCATGTGGCAGCATTATACTAGCCGAGCAAATTATTTTAGTTACAATTTTCCCATCTAAATACCTAGTCTGAAATCTTTGTAACTCTAACGGGCAGGTTAACTACCTTGCTGTTGTGAGGATATTAACCGCAGGTTCCAAGCAATGTATGTATTTGCCTCTAACCGCAAAATCTACCCCCGATGGACATGTGCTAATTGTTTTTCGGATTCACGATGGAGTCATTCATTTATGAACAGTTGTATTTCACTTTTGACCGCAAAAGCAAAATGGTGGGTTGAGCTGCTTCTCAGCGAAATGCTGCCAAGTTGGCTTGCCCGAGAACAGAGGGTCAGTTCATGCATAGGAAGCAAAACAGGCTGCCAGAATGAGTGATCTAGGCATCCCTTATTCAAATATTTTAAAGAGTGCGGGCGGTTCTTGAGGGGAAGGGTTTTCGGACTGCTCAAGAAACTGCTTGTAAACTGGGACATTATTTTGATATAAAATTTACTCATGCAGGCAACATTTGATACTAGCTACACCATGTATGTCAACCACCATATCAGGTAATAATAATAATAATAATAAAGGCGATAATAGAACTAGGAGTAGCCATACACCAGCCGGTTGGAATGAACTCTGTGGACTCTTCGGGTGTCAAAACTAAATCAGACAGGTGCATCAGTGCTCGATGCTGAAAAATAGTATGATTCGAGTTCTTCGCGCCTCCTGCCGGTAGTAAAACTGTTATAAGTCAAAAAGACACACGTAGTCGCTCGATCGCCTTCTGGGTGTGTTAACCTGCGTTCATGAGTGGAAGTGCCTTGAAATTGTCCCTACACTTGAGTTCTTCGTCACTTTCCGTCTAGATTGGACTCGAAAGATGAGAGTAATTTTTTGTACCATTTCCACTTTCCATTAGCCTTAAGACTTCACTGTTCCAGTTGCGACGTCTTACGCTCCACTCCACGTCCGTCTGTGAAAATACCCACTTACTGCCGGCCTTATTCCAACACTACAAGACCGTCCCAGTCTTATCTATTTTTCTTGTTTGCCCCTAGCTATTTGGTTTATTTTATAGGCCAAGGGACTTTCAAACAATTGTTTTTGCCAACCCATTGCTCAGCCAATAAAGCTACATAAATGGTCAAGTCTGATTACATAATAACCTTTAATTCATATCAATTTTCGTGTCAATAGGCACCTGGACTGCCCACGAAGCATTCGACTACTCGGTGGCGCCAATGATTTCCATGTCACCTCCCTTGCTTTGTCTCCGGATGCCACGTCTTTTGCAACCATCTGCGAGGATGGGTGGGTGTCTTTTCTTTAATTGACTTATTCCTCGCTGCGCGCAGCATTTGCATCCTTTCCTTAGTCCGTGTTTTGGATTTTCGCCTGTGATTCCTCGCGCTGGAGAGAAAGATATCAAACCGAGACCTTATATTGTCATCTATGTTAGCATATTAGCATGTAGCAACTTTGGAAGTACCTAAGTTGCCTGTAGGATAGATGTGCCCGACGACCGCCTTTGATGTTGATCTTATGCTTGCAAACTGGTAATCGCACTGGGTGAGCACTTTCGTGAAGTAAACGCGCAACTAATGTACTATGCGGACATTCAGCGTTGCTTCGGATCCCCGTGCCCCGCCGCCGTCAATCATCGCTATCTCAATTTTCTCTGCCACATTCACCACAGTGACGACGAACACAACCACCCCCGTCACTAACCGAAACGCCCCTGATGCCCTGCCAACCTACAACACCTTCACCATCACCACCCCCACCTCCAGCGATGTAGGCTCTACCCCAACCTGTCCTCATTGCGATCGCACATTCACCTCGCGCATCGTTTCTGTCGGTCACTTACGAACCCATCGCACTGTTGCCAATACATCAGCGTTCAGATATACATCCGCTGCACCCGCCATCGCAGCACCAGCCGATTCTACAGTCCCAAATCCATCATGCCCCAACTGCCACCAATTATGTTCATCATGCATCGGCCTGGTCGGTCACTTGTGAATCCACTACACAGAGGCTGACAACCTAGTGCCAGGGGTACCAACATACAGCTGCCGCATCCGTCTTAACTGCGCATACCGTTCACATACATTCACTCATCGCATGGGTCTACTATGCCACTTGCGCCTTCATGAAAACCTGCGGTAATTCGTCGCAGACAACCACATCATCGCACCCCCCCCCACCCCCACCAATACATGCACCGGACATACACCCCTCCAAAATCTAACATCACCGGCACCTCCTACGTAAGTGGGAAGTGTGTTTTTCGACTCCTCCATATGGCTTTTCCAATTCATGTGAGATCCGAGCGTCATACCCCCTTGCGTGTGCGTTTGGGAAGCGTGCGGTGCGTACGAACGGGCTCTGAGTCTGTCAGGCACTGCGTCTATTCCCCGTACCAGACGACTGACCGGCACGAACAGTGGCTGGAACCCGGGGATGGGAATAGAGAGTGAGGTCGACGACTACGCGCACTTTCCTCATTACAAACAATCTGACACGCTTAAAGCTGTCACGGTGCACTAAAAGCCGTGACCTTGAAGGTCGCCAACTGACGGGATACGTCGTACCTTGTAATCTACCCAGTGTGTGTTTATGTGGAGTGGCGGACTAGTTGACTGAGATTCAGGCTGCAATGGCTCCTTAACGTGGCCTCTATGGCACTCACACTCCGTGTGATCGGAGTCGGGTGTGACGACACGCCTAGGTGCAGCTCCTGCCGCGCCAGTCACCTGCGTCCTCTACCACCTCCAGTCCTTCTGAGTATGTCGTGAGGTCAGGCTGAGGTGGGGAGGAGGGAGTGCAATAGATGCTTCGAAAGTCTACCATCACTATCAACTAATACACGCGCAAGTCGCCGTCCCTGCTCTCACTCCGCTGTGGAGCAAACGGTGGACATCGTCGAAATCGACGGTTGAACTGTCAGTAACTCTGTAACCTTTCCTTAGAACAAAGCGATCTATCACAATTGTCCGCTCCCTGCTGAAATATAAGCACTTGCTGACCCGGCCGGGCACTTATTTGTGCAAAGGCCATGGGCCACAGCGGCATTACCCTGCGAATGCTCGCCGGCCATTCGGTTAGACCTCACTGCATATAGTGGCGCGATTCTGGAACCCTAGACTAATGTGCGAGAATGCTGGGCGTGGGTGCTTATCTTCAGATTCTAGAACTGCAAGGCACCGTCTGCCCATCAAACTGCCTCGCGAAACGGCCTGACAGCCACGGTTTAACCGAACAATGGTCGTTGGACTTGACGAGAGCAAGTAACGCCGAGAGAAACAATTTCCTGCTCAAATCCAACACCAACATCTGCGTATAAAATGGAGCTATTTTATTTATGCGGGCAACTAAAAGCAACTGTTTCGCAGTTTCCAGTGAGTACCTGCGAGCCCTTTTCTATTCCTCTAAGATACTTTGCGTCGTTGACTTATCTGATAAGTACGTCTAGGAGACGTTTCTGTTGTGTCTTGTGTTATTTGCCTAAATTTTACTATCGAGGGGATTCATGTTCCGCCATGTCACAGGAATCATTGGTCTATGGCCCTGTAGGTTAGTCATGTAAACTCTGACAGTGTTTTATACTGCACTTCCAGTATAGTTACTGGATAAAAACACAGACACGTGTTTTGCCGATTTTTCTGCCGCTGTATGACACAACTGCGAGGGTTTCAACTCCTCTGTCTGTCCCCCAGTCTGCCGTATCGTATTTGACATTTCGAGGCTGGTCCTAAAAAGTTGTGTCCTGGACACTTAACTTCACCCTACCGCCGATCGCCCAAGCACTCAAGCCATTAACCAAATTACGAACGTCATCTAACGAAGACGGTAGTTGACGAACGAATGACTAGTAGTTGGGTATTAGGTGGACGAGTTTAACGCCAGTGTGGCGTATCATTTGCTCCTAAGCCTGACACCCAACTTCTTTGCTCTCTCTTGCCACGGCCACTCATATGCATTTAACCACGTGACTACATACTTTCCTGTTGCAATCGCAGTCATCCGATCCTCCCAGGCTGGTGTGAATCGAGTTTCTCCTTGGCTCCCCTTTCTTCTTAAACTCGACCACTTCTCCATCAAAGTAGACGATTTAGTCGCCACGTGACTTTTTTTCTCAGCTCTCCGAGTGACATAATCCTTAATCTTTCTGGTCCACAAGTCCTACGTTCTAATTTAGTCTAGCTTCCGTGCTTGAGTAGTGTAGTAATATTAAGTGCATGGACAGGTTGCAAATCTGGATTTCAGACTGAATTGTTTTTGAAGTAGTCGAATGGTGTCAGTAACTGTGGTTTGTCTATGGTAGTTATCAACCATGACCTATTTTCTACTCCCACCCGCTTACACCACATTTATCCTTCTCGTCTTTATCAGCCTAGTATTAGCCATCCTCTGGTCGCGAAAACATTTATGCTAAATTAGTAGACATTTTCATGTTTGCGCCTAACAGTTTTTCCCGGGTTTCTGGTCTAAATATGGTCGTCCAAACACACGTCCAAGCCATTCTTCGCTCTATTCTCCCCAGGAACCTGAGAATCTGGCCGGTCTCGCCGTCACGTGAGCCCAGAGTGTTTTTGCATGAGGATCTGAACCGCACCGACATGCGCAGACGAACCCTTGCCTTCAGTCCCTGCGGTCAGGTGTTAGCCATCGCGTAAGTCTCCTGAATTCTCATTTTGCTGATGCAAGCTAAAAGATGCGTCCTAGGCAGCAATTGGGCAAGAGACTCGATGACTGGATGACTTTTGTTCGCCTGAGATTTCGGATTAGCACCCATCGGAGACAGCAACAGGTAAGGACAGTGTGCACGCACAGGGGTCAGTTGCTACGCGAGCACATGCCTATCAAAGTTAGCGGCTACCGCATTCACCACAGATGGCCGTACCGATGCGATTCCTGGTTGATTTCCTGCACCCGAGTCGTTAGTTGCTGCAATTCAATCGCCAGCATTATTTATTGTCGTGGTAATTAGTCAACCACTTACCTCACCCATACTATCATCGAAATCGCTGTCCGCCAGTACGCTTCCTATGTGAATTAAAATAATTTTTAAGGGTGTTTGGAGCCAATAGTTGGCCGCGTAAACGAAACGATAGACAAAATTCAACCGGTCCCAAATTTTGTCGGACACTCCCGTATAGCACGAGCATCTCGGAAGTCGTCAAGCGCCTTCTCATGTCACTTGGATTTGGAGTCGCAAACAGGTCGGACGCAATCGTCAGGCGTCAACTACTGATGCCGAAAGGCCCATGGCTACGGCAGGAAACGTCTGGACTCGTTTACCGGATCTGGTGCAGTTGCGGACAAAACAGCTACTTCGGGGAAACTTTGTGTTTATCTCTAGCGTGAATGACCGAACGCGCGAGACCAGTGAGAAGGAATGGCACCTACTTTCACTCTACGGGAACCGGCTACACCTTCGACTGGGCCGAAATTCTTGCGGAAGGCGGCAACCGTATGGGCTGCGAGCTGCCTCGATCGTGGTTCTGCGGCCTGCAGTCCGTCACCAAGCGCAGCGACCTACCTTTTATATATTCAGCACTCACACTGTCCAGTGAGTCATATAGTCAAGTTATTATTGCACCAATGACTGACGTTGGCGATTGAATTTCAGCAATAGCCGACTTAGATGCAGACCACCGAGCAATTATCGTATCGGGTGCGGCCATTAGCGGAGAATGCGGAGTTGCTAACTTTGTCAGGCACGTGGTCGCGTAGCAACCACATCCTATGAAAACTCCAATTCCTGTTCGTGCACTACCCCTCTCTTTTGCTGCCTCTGTGAGTACGAAACGTCAGGCTGGCGAATTCCTCCAGTTATATCTTCTCGGAGAATCCTCCATCTGCCCTCAAGACTGCTCCTTCAATCTTAACTCGGTGTTTTTTTAGGTTTGGTTTCTAGTTCTGCTTGTTACTTCTCTGCATCTAAAATGTTAGGACATCATTTTTTTTCAGGAATCAGAGGATGATCGGCAGCTCTCTAAACTAGCGCGAAGGCAAAATCCTCGAGAATGCTAGCCCGTTAAATCCAGGCCCTTGCTGATGAGGACGTCGTAGTGGCCAAATTAAGACTTGGGTGGAATTGGTAATAGCTGACTTCGATCCGTGGGACCGGTGTGCCAACTGGCTCAACTCAGCTCAGAGGCATGCCATTGACCAACAGCAATGGAAGGAAATCGCTCGTGATACAGCGAACCTGTAAAGTGATGTCAGTGAAATTGGTCACGATGGATGCCATCACAAGTAACTTAGTAATTACATTATCTTGGGACTTGAAGCCGCAAGTATGATCCACATCAGCTCTTCTTTCTCACCCTCTAACGACTGTTTCCTCTAGTCGTTTCAGAGGGGAAACGGGCAACTGATAGTAGCGCCCGCACGAGGCGGAGGAGTAGTAGAGGAAAATGTGACGTCCGTTGAGGTTCCTAATCAACGACTTTTTGCTTACGATTTTAATATCCAGGCAGTCAGGTGCATTCAACTCCTTCTGTGAGGCATTATGAACTTCTATTCTTCTCTTTTGGCAGTTTGCAACCCTATCCCTCATCCTACTCCAGTTATATCGAACATGTTTAGACACAGTATATGGCCTAGGCATTCAAGCTTGTCAAAATACGGGAGAAAGGATGCACGCTATCCCTCACCACGATAACTAAATCTGTTGTCATGTTCTTTTGCCCCCTTCACATCAGTTTTAATTTCGAAGACACACACGGGTCCAGTAAACACGTCGTTACCCTTTTTGCTTTCTCGCAGCATGACGAATTCGGTGATAGACCTGCTTATCTATCATCGAAGACAGCCACCCGACCTCTTCTCCCTCTGCCTGCGCACTGTTCGCCGCCGTTTGGTCCAGAACTTACTCGCTCCGCCCACTGTTGGTTCGGCTCTGCTGGCAGACATTGTTAGGTCGGCCAGCGCCCTCGTAGCCGAAAGACCCTCTGCGGCCCCGGCTGCACCAGAGCACCCAAACACCACCCTGTTGTCGCCAACACCGCATCAAACGGAGTGTTCACCGCGTGCTCGTCTGCGTTGGTCTGTTGACGTACGCGAAATGCATTTATGCCGAAACCTCCTCTTTGCTGCTCTGGCCATCCTTCCAGTACCGCCCAGGGTTTTGTCTTCCCTCTGCTACGGCTTCGTGCCCGGCCACTCCAGTTTTATCACTCACCGACGCTCCGTCATCGCGCCCTCGCAGGTCCAAACCACTTGATATCCCGGCCGCCCCACCCCGTCCACCGGATCACTTCCTTTTGATTCCCACCCCCCTCGGCGCCTATTTAAATCCAGGCTTTCTCCCCGTTCCAGACAATCAAGTTTTCCTGTGTGGCTTTTTTCTCTGTTAGGCGATTCCTCTAGTCCAAAGGTTACCTTCATGCAATTCCTATCTATAACTTCGCTAGGCGTTCATTGCTTTGTACTTTTGTCTCATCTTTTTTCTCCTTCGGGAAAACTGCTTTTGCCTTTTACGAAACAGCTTTTATCTTGAAGAAGTCAAAATGGACAAATGTGCGTTTTCAATTACTAATCATCAGGCGTGTGCAGGAACATGCATGCCTCATGGTAGGGCAGCGAATAATGAAAAATTACCAATGAAAAAAGGGGAGAGAGCTGAGGATGTCTAAACACGACAAAAACAGGGGGAGGTATTTTTATCCCCCTTTCCCCTCTGACATCGAAAGAGGTTCACAGATTCTTTACCTTCCTGCCATACCTTAATCAAGAGAAGAAAGTGAGTCCCTCATGTGACGTATCACAATTGCGGGAGCGCATGTTGACTCAAGCATTGTCTACGGCCACTGATTGGATTATTCATATTGACCCAACTGTGAAAAACTCGGCGCCTCGGTGGGATTCGAACCCACGCAGTAAGGCCAAGGCTTTAGTACAGCCAACGCTCTAATCACTTGAGCTACGAGCTGGTCATCTGGTTGATTCTAGGTAAATCACTTAGGAAAACCTACTTGGGCAGTCAAGTTACTCTGTCAGATTTGGTGGATTCCAGACGTTGCAGAGGGTTGGGCGGGTAACTTGACCCAAATGTAATTAAACTCACGTTGTCCGGCGGGGCCTCGTAGACCAAGTGGTTACAGCGTTTGCTGTCCCAAAGCCTTCCCCTTACCGCGTGGGTTCGAATCCCACCGAGGCGCCGAGTTTTTCATAGTTGGGTCAATATGAATAATTCAAAATCTGCCGAAATATCTATGGATTGGATTATTGTTGTCGGAATCTGTCTTTTCCTCTCATTACTAGGTGTTTTGGCAGATTCTAAGTAAGTTGGTTAAATTGTGGGAAACTCGGCGAGCTGTTGGGATTTAAACCTACGACAGCAAGAAGAAGGCCTGTGTGCAGCCAAATAATTCATTAAAGATCTGCCAAAACCCATTAATTACGTGAGCCTGGTAGGTATCTGGTGGATTCTAGATTAATTGCTTTAGAGATTCTGCTTGGGCAGTTAGCTTATTGCATCAGAGCTGTGAAAACTTGGCGACCTCGGTGGGATTCCAACCTATGAATTACGTGAGCCTGGTAGTCATCCGGTGGATTGTAGATGAATTGTCTTCGAAATCCTGCTTGGGCAGTCAGCATACTGTATCGAATTCGGTAGATTCCATATGTTGCTGTAGGCTGGGCGAGTAGCTTGAATTTAATGCGCTTGAAATCACGACTCTCGGTGGGGCCTCGCGGCTGGGATGGCTAGAGCGTCGGCCGTACACAACTCTTGCCGTCGTGGGTTCGAATCCCGCCGGGATCGCCGGACTTTTCACATTTGGTTCAAAATAAATTCTTCACTAATTATTGCATAAAGCGGGTGATCGATCTCATGAAACGTTGACCGAAATTCTGAAATGCGTTTTCCATTAAGGAGGATACAATATTGATTATCATGCGGCAAAACCGTGTAATGTTTCCGGCCCGCCAGGATGTCGGCTTGTCAATGCGTTTCTTTTGACCTGTAGAAACCGCAGTCGGTGAGAAATGACTACTTAATCAGCATGCATTTTTCGCATTGATTTTTGATGTTCATGTAAATTCAAACATATTTTATGTAAAACTTACATAAAAATGTGCTTTATTTTACTCGTCTGATAGAGAATCACGTTGCCTTTACATTTCATACCTGAATAAAGGGCATGTCTAGGTTTTGTAAGAGTTTATCAATGCCCGATTAATTTTGATCCTGGTTAGCTGTTGCATTAGCTTTTAGCGATTTCAGTCTACAAGGTGCTTGATTTCGGCTTAGTGAAAATCATTTATTCCTCGATGGCTTTAAAAAGATACCATGTAGAGTTCACAAAATATTGCAATGGATGCGGACTATGTTCTACATTCCATTAGAAGCATTGGCAAACGGACATGTGTGATGCTGCATGAATGGACACTGCACGGTCTTAAAAATCTCACAATTGGAAACTTTTTCAAAAGCTAAATATGCACTTTCTTCGGGTACAAAATGTGAGAATGACGTGATTCTCTATCAGACGAGTAAAAGAAAGAATATTTTATGCGTTTTATGTAAAATATGTTTCAATTTATAAGAACATCAAAAATCAATGTGAAACATGCATGCTGACTAAGTAGTCATTTCTCACCGACTGCGGTTTCCACAGGAGGTCAAAAGAAACGCATTGAAAAGTCGACATCCTGGCGAGTCGGAAACATTATACGTTTTTGCCGCATGATAATTAATACTGTAACCGCGCCTAAATAATCCCCCGTAATGGAAAACTCATTTCAGAATTTCGGTCAACATTTCATGAGATCGGTCACTCACTGTACTATTGCATCAGGTGGGATAGCGACAGATAGGCTGCAGGGGCTTTTCAGCATGTTTTTTTCATATCCCTCAAGACCCGTGGGACAAATTTGCTCTTGAAAGCATAAATTGCGTGAAAATTCATTCTTTGGAGAATAAGTATCGACAAAGACGGAGGTGTCCGAGCCAGTCCATCTTGAATTTCATATTGACCCGACTGTGAGAAAATCGGCGCCTCGGTAGGATTCGAGCCCACGCAGAAAGAGGAAGGCTTTAGTACAGCCAACGCTCTAACCACTTGAGCTACGAAGCCCCGCCGGACGACGCGAGTTTATTGGCCAACAATAGCCCCAGCCAGGTTTGCATAGGGACGAGGACTTCGGTGAAGGATACCATTTCGGTCTCCGATATACTTTTCGGTACTTATTTTGCATTATTATTTGCCCCGTGACTGTCTTCGATGGCCCTAGATTGAGTTCCAAGGCACACCTAGAAGATCATGTCCCAGAAGTTGACAAATGACACTGCCATGTTGATTTGCTCTCTCATGGAAGTCAGCGGAATCGCATAGGTTTAAGGGCCTATCGCCTGCTTCTCGACATTCAGTGACTAACGTTTGACTGCGATTTCGGCTCCTCGTGTGTGTCGTAAGCAGAGATCCTAGATTAAAAGGCATTAAGTTCTAACCACTCAGTTATGCGTCTTCGGGATGCTGAAGATTGAGGAGCTTTTTTCTAAAGTGGAGTGGAAATATTTACATACTGTCTTCTTCACCACCTAAGGCCCATGTCGAGCTCTTTGTTGGACGGTCAGAAATATGTGCCAACACTAAATATCAAACATTTCGCATCTTTACGGTGCTGTTATCCTAGTAATGGGTTGTTCCTAGTCCCAGTTCGAATTTCTAATGAAAAGCCTAGTACAAGCGCCCAAGCTAGTATGCTGGCCGTCACAGCCTTTCAAATAATACGTTCTGCTTTACATGAAACATCTGTTTTCTCTGCTGTAATCTGCTTTTGTTCTCTTCACGCAGTGAAAAGACTAGGGAAGTGCGTGCTTGTAAACGTGGGGCTTTATAGGACTGTCTTCTGTGAATTATAGCAGGTAAATCAAAAGATTGTTTTTTGCAACGGTGAAACTTCATCATTTGTTTTATATCTGGTTTTTCATTACTGACGTTGCATTTTGGCTACCTGGAACCCAAAACTAAGATATCCCGGCGTACTGAGCCCCGCACAGCCACCTCCAGTCTTACGCCATCGATTGATGATTTGCTAGCACGCCCTTCAATTGTCGCTTGTTTTATTGTTTCTGCTAATCCGTGTGTGTATTTCCACACACTGTAATTTTCCTTTTCTCCCCCATTCCCCTCTCACCCTCTCTACGTCTCTTCTCCCTTTTCCTACTCCTCTCTCTTGTCATCTCGAGGGCGGCATGCAGTTACGTAGACGGCCCAAGCCATTGATCGTTCTCTTACTAAACGCCGTGACCCACAGTGCAGAGCGGAATCCCCCCGGTGCGACAAAGCAACCCTACCTAAGGAGAGCACTGCCTTTCCCCACGAAGGGAAAGGGACTACAAAAGGTAACCTAAGCAAGGGTGGGTCCACGACATCTGCGCACAAACCATGGCTCGCAGACGCAAAACACACGGTCGAAACAACCAAGCAAGAAACAACACTCTTTTCCCTTTCCTTCTCCACATCGCCACAACCCATAGGCTGCTATGGTGGGTCCGCTCACCCTTGCAGCCTGGAATGTTGGTTCCCGTTTAGACCATCCCAGGAGCAACCGGCCATAACGCAGAAGGACTTCGGTCGTTCGGGAACTGGCATGATACAACGTGGACATCGCTGCACTCAGCGAGGCATGCTTCTCCTAACACGGTCAACTGGAAGAAGTAGGTGTCGGCTACGCCTTCTTCTGGAGCGGTCGTCCCAAGGCATAGCGACGAGATGCGAGTGTCGCCCTAGTCATTCGGAACGACATCGTGAGACGATTGTCCTGTCTGTCGCAGGACGCCAACAATCGCCTGATTAACCTCCACCAGCCTCTCCTAGGAGGCAAATTCACCACGGTCATCAGCGTCTACGCTTCCCCGATGACCAGCCCTGACACTGTAAGGAACAAATTCTATGAGGATCTGCACGCCCTCATAGGGCCTACGTCAAAGGCGAGCAAGCTGGTTGCCCTTGGCGACTTCAGTGCCCGCGTCGCGACAGACTGCGCTGCCTGGAGAGGCGCGCTATGTCCCTGTGGTCTCGACGGCTCCAATGATAATGGCCTGCTCCTCCCACGAACCTGCGCAGAACACCGGCTCCTCCTGACCAACACCTACTTCCGTCTCCCAATGCGAGAGAAGGCCACGCAAATATTGTTTTGTTGTCTTTGCCTGTCCATCACCTCTATTTCAGCAATGAGATAACTCAACGGCTAGCCAACCTTCCAGTCACCGCCGTGCCACCGCTGACGAGGACGCCTCCGTGGAGATCCGATGGTGTCAAATGCGGGACACGGTCCGCTTGACGGCCCTGGTTGTCCCTGGTCACGCACGACACCAACATCAGAACTGGTTTGATGACAACGACACCACCATCAGCAACTTACTCGCCGAGAGCAACCGACTGCACAAAGTCCACGGCAATTGCCCTACTGAAGACAGCAAAGCAGCCTTCTACCGTAATCGCCGCCCTGTGCAACAGCGGCTGCGCGAGATGCAGGAAACCTGGATGGTTTACAAGGCCGAGGAGATCCAAGGATACGCGGACCGCAACGAATGGAAGAAGTTATTCGCCGCGATCAAGGCTGTCTACGGTCCCACAACCAAAGCAACTGCTCCTCTTCTCAGCGCCGATGGCAGTACCCTACCCATTCAGTAGACACATATTTTGCAGGGATGGGCCGAACACCTCAGAAGTGTCATTAACCATACCTCAATCATCTCCGACGCCGCCAACGCCCGTCTGCCTCAAGTGGAGACCAACGCCGCCCTCGACCCTCATGAAACCATCAGGGCGGTTCAGCAGCTCTCCAATGGGCAATCGATCGGATCGGACGCGACCCCTTCTGAAATCCACAAACACAATGACCCCTAACTTATGGAACACCTGACGGCGCTCTTCTAGGAGATGTAATGTTAAAGACAAGTTCCTCAGAACCTCAAAGACACCAAAATCGTCTGTCTCTATAAACGGAACGTTAGCCATCACCTATGCCACAAACACCGAGGCATTTCCCCGCTGATAATCGCCAGTCAGATCCTCCTTCGCATTCTTCTCATCCGCCCGAACAATCATCTGGAACAAAATTTTCTGTCGGAAATTCAATGTGGCCTCTGCCATCATCGTAAAGCCACCGACATGATCTCCGCCGTCCGGAGATGCGGCTCCACCTCTGCTCTCCCTTCGTGGATCTGACGAATGCCTTCGGTACGGTAAATCGCGAAGAATTGTGGAAAACCATGCAGAAATTCGACTGTCCCGAACGCTTCACTCAGATGGTGCGTCAGATCCACGATGGCATGGTGGCTCGCGTCACGGAATTCCAAAGCCAGCGAGGCCTTCGTCCGTCTACAAAACACAGTTTGAAATTGACACGGTTTCTACACGACAGTTCGACCGTCGATTTCGACGATGTCCACCGTGTGCCCCACAGCTGCAGCAGCGGTGGGAGCAGGGACGGTGACTTACGCAGGGGTTTATGGTGCCAGTAGACTTGCGTAGCATCTACCTACACTCTCTCCTCCTCCCCCGCCTGGACCCGGTGTCAAGACAGAGTCAAGAAGACCGGAGACGAGGGAGGCCGCAGGTGGATGGCTCGGACGGATCCTCACCTTGGCGTTCCACCACACCCCCTGGTCCACACAACAATAACCAGGATTTCAACCAACACAAGAGAGATTTGGAGACTGGCACGACCGAAGCCGCGCCTGGGCGTGCCGCCAACGCCTGGCTCCGATCCCACACTGTGATGGGAGTGCCATAAAGGCCACATTAAAAAGGAGCCATTGCAGCCTGACTCTCAGACCGCCTCCCGTGAAAGAGGTGGTCCAAGGTACCCCGTCAGTTGGCAACCTTCCAAGCCACGGCTTTTAGCGCACCGTGATAGCTTCAAGCGCGTCAGATTGTTTATAGTGAGGAGAAAGTGCGCTGAGTCGTCGACCTCACTCTCCCTTCCCACTCCCACACCCCAGCCGCTGCCCGAGCCGGTCAGCAGACTGGAGTGGCGAGTGGGCGCGGTGGCTGTCATGGTCGACGGACCATGACTGTGCGCGCTACAGCACGACCTGGCCCCCCATACACACAAACACCAGGATTTCACACAACGGGGATTGAACGGCGTGTCTCGCACTTGCGTGAGAGTGCCGTGGAAGGTGCTGTTGCAGCCCGTCCCCAGCCCACCAGTCCGCCACTACACAACACACACACACACAACGTGACGAACTGCGTGAACCGAGAGCGGGCCTCAATCAGCAACCTTCCTATCCACGACGCTTGACGTGCCGGGATAGTCTCGGACACAAGTCACCCGTGCAGCCGAAGCCGCATGGGGACCGAGTCGAGATGCACACTTCCCACTTGCGTGGGAGGCGGCAGTTGAGGGCATGAGGTGTGTGTGTTGGTGTCTGGTGGGGTACTGGTGTTCAGAGGTAGGGAGTGAGGGGATGTGGGGTGTGACCGGCGGTTGTCTACCGCAGGTCGTCGTGGATGCGCATTTGGCCGAATAGACCCATGCGATGCGTGCAGGTGCGAGGGCAGTGTGGGCAGTGGAGGCGAGTGCGGTGGGTGTAGGTTGGTGCTCCAGGCACTGGTTCGCCAGTCTCTGTACGATGGATTCGCAAGTGACCGACCAGGCCGATGCGTGAGGTGAATATGCGGTCGCAGTGAGGGCAGGTGTAGTCCTGATCCTCATCAGTGGTATCGGCAGAGGTGGGAGACGTGGTGTCGGTTGTTGTGT